TTTGACGAAAAAAACCCATCACGTTTTTTTTTAATAATCATGAAAAATATCATTGAACGTTTCATTAGCATTAATTATATCCAGTGTTTGTTTTTCGGCTCCAGGGCTCCAAATATCATAGATGTAATGCTTAATGAACATCTCTTTCAACATCTCCATCTCTTTCAGATCTTCTTTAGTTGGAGACCAGGTAATGTTATTTAATTTTTCATGAAAGTAAACATTCTTCACACATCCACTATCCATGTGAATCTTCAATCCAAAAACTTCTGGTCTGTTTACACAGGGTCGTTTCTCTCTTGCCACCAAATATGTTAATATTGCTTGATCTTGTCGATGGTTTTTTCTACTACTGCCTTCTGGCGCAAAACATTCTTTTACTTGAGCACATTCTATCCAACCGTTTATTAAATTTCCTACTCTGTTCGAATCGAATGCTATCGCTGCTCCATTACAATTTGGAAAACCAGAGTATTTTTCTGGAACATCATTAAAATACTTGAAAACGCCTGGATGTGTCCATTTTAACATGTTACCACCTGATATAGGCGAAAAGAAACCATCGTAATAATCCAGAACGACATTAAATTGTTTCAAAAATTTCCCCGATACATAAGTTCCCGAGTCAAGCCAAAATATTGGCCCAGGATAATCTTTAATAACGTCAGATATTACACCAGGCTTCCATCCATATTCTCCTCTGGTTTCGTTATTTATTTTCCAAAATTCCGGACACTTTTCGAAATCAAGTTCCCTGAGCTCATTCAAATATCCCTTCTCAAGTAAGACTTTTGACCATTTTTTCTGATAATTCACTAATCCAATGTCGTAAACCAAAATCCTGGGTCGTTTAGATTCCGGCATCGATTTAAGTATCCCTTTCATATAGTAAAGCCAACTTTGCACTTCACAAAAATGATTTGAACTCGCTGCCGTTACTATTGTAAAGGGATATTTTTTGTGGTTATGTAATGTTTGGTTATGACCGTAATTAAACCCAACGACGTGACTAATTCGCTCTTTTGTCACTAATCGACCTATATGTAAAAATAACAATTGAATAATAAACAAAATGTTTATTTCATTAATGCTTTTTTTTCAATAAGTTTTTACAAACCTATTAATTCAAGTTTAAAGGAGATGTATGGTATGTTCCATGTTATGATGGATATTACTACAAGAGAAAATATTATTGTTTTAACTTGAGTTGATATTCGTCTCCATTTCATTTTTTCGTTTGTTTTAATTTTTTTGAAAAAAGTAATTCCAAGCCAGACGGATTGTCTCTATATAAATATATAGTAAGCGTAATTTAAGCGTACTAACCAAATTTGGAAATATTCGTCAAATTAATCCCAAGAATGAAATTTGCCACATTTGTATTTTGATAATGATTTATACAAATTGAGTAAAGTGTGCAATAAATACCGAATTAATATACACAAGATCTACCATGGAAACAGGAATATTTCAAAAAAAAAAAACAATAAGGCGAGAAAATTGATTCTTGTGTTTCAAAATAAATAATACCCAGATGCTTGAAGGTTATCTAAGGAAAGAGAAAAGTACTTATGAAATATGCCAAGAAAAATGAAAATAAAAGAACATAGAAAGAAAGTAAGAAAAATTGGAAGATAAATAATTTATTGTTTAACTTGGCTAATTGAACGATTATCTTTTAAAAATTAAAGAAATTAAAAAAAGAATTGGCAATATATTCATTATTAATACTCGAGGGAGAGTAGGTTTGCCTAGCCGAGGGGAAGGTAGCATCACTTCGAGTATATCCCTCCCTAGTTGTAGTGATGGGCGTAAAAATTATTTTGAAAAATGACCAAGTTATTAAGTGTTAAAAACACAAACATGCAGATCTCTTATTGGTAACTGTTTAATCAAATATTAATTTGATAAACAAGTTAATAATTAATTTAGTACTGTGCATAAAATTCAGTGTGCAGAGTGTGCATGCTAACCAAATTTGATAAATTTTTTCCAAATCTGCTGAATTTGGTTAGCACAGCACATTCCACATGCTGAATTCTATACACTGGGATTGATTGACAAAATGGATCTTTTGGATTAATAACTCTCACTCAGAGTGCAACAGTTAATAAGTGGTTATTAACTATTAATAACTTGGAGTTATTAAGTGTAGGGTTAAAAATTCCCATCACTACTTAAAATGAATCTTGTTACTTTTAATGATTCTCCAGTTGAAAATTATCATTCATTAATCCGAAGACAAACTAGAAAAGCAGCTCATATTATCAACCATCTTCACCATGATGATATATTTCAAAGTTCATTTGTTGCCAAAAAAAGTATCCTTATCGCAAAAAAATTTAATAGGATTAAAAACAAGGCATCTTGAACTATTCACTAAAGTCAAAAACAATCTAGGAAAAAGTGAATGGCAAGATGTTAAGCAAAATTCTAAAACAAAGAAAACAAAAACAATAAAACAAATAAAACAAATCATCAACTTCCATGCTATCTTGCAAACCCTTGATATAATTGTTGATCAATGTCTTTTACCAATGGCATTTAATACAGATTATCCACCAATTGACCAATCAATAGAGTGTCATCTTAAGGATACTTGTATGAAACCTCAACTAAATTCTAGTGATCAAAAATTTCAGCAGTTCATAAAGCTGACACTTCTTCCATATAGCCATATTTATCATGAATATTGTTTACAACATCATGATTACAAGTGTCTATATTGTTTAAAATACATAAAAAATCAGATTAATATCAATGTAGAATCTATTATTAATATATTTACAAGTGAAAAAGATCTTCCAATAGAAGATGATCCTGAAGATGAAATTCAACCATTAGAAATTGATGAACCTGAGGAATTACAAATAGAATTTAATCTTCAAGCCAAGATTGAGTTTAATACAGCACTTTGAGAGTTCCTAAGGGAATAGATTTCATATCACTTAAATGGTTTTTCAGCTATTGATGGCTGAAAATTTTTTTCTGTTATAAAAACTTTTTATGAAGGTATCACTTCCTAATAAAAAAATGATCTTTGAAATTCGGCTGATTGATCTGTGAATAAAAATTCAGTTGTTGTCCTTGTGATTTTTGTAAAATATTCCTTAAAAGTTGGTCGATTGACTATTTTTACTTTGCAGATCGTTAAATTGGCCAATAAGAATGCAAGGTCGTGATCAAAAAATCATTTTGTGTTACCATTAAAGAATACTTTGACCGTTTAAGAGATAATAAATTTTTTTTCTTTAATTTATTTATATATTATTGTTACATGTATAAATTTAGAAATTCTTTAGAATAACTAACTACCTTTTGAAATCCTTTTATGTAATTAATATGGTTGGCTCGGTCTAAAGACCTCCTATTGCTGCGCCATGCGGCCAAATTTCCAAATAGCAATTTTGTAATTCATTCAAAAATGTAATAAAAATTTTCAAAAATAGGTCTTCACATGATTTTAGTTTTCTTGCTGCCAAATTTAGATACGATAGTCAAGAGCTAGTCTAAATTTGGTAATCTTTCTACTAAATTTGGAAATGATCATAGTGAACAAATTCCTCGCAAGCATAGTAAAGTAGATGTTTTAAAAAAGAATAGGACTCTACAACAAATAATTTTTTGAGAAAATCTCTCTATTACATTAAAACTAAAGACATATTCTATCAATTAATAGAGCTATTTTTTTAAAAGGTAGGACAGAAAGTGACTTCTATACTTTTAAAATTTGCCCCAAAATTTAGGAGGTCTTTAGACCAAGCCAACTATATTTGTTTATTTTTTTTATTATTTTTTATTCCTTTTCTTTTCTTTTAGTGAGGTAATATTTAATGAATTTTATTTAGTAGTTTCTAGATATGTGCCCAACTTGGTAGTAAAGTGGAAAACAACTAGAAGGACCCCACCAAGAAACATGGTCAGGATATCTAAAGATATTATTTAGTATTTCTTATTGTAAGGAATTGTTTGATGATAGTTTTGAGAGTAAAGCATAAATATGCATTCATGGAAATTGTTGTTATGATTTAGTATAAATAAATTGTATTAACATTGTTGGCATATTACTATAAATAAAATATTGAGATTTACTGTGAGGCACAGATTTTTATCTCACAATAATCATTTTTATTATTATTATTTATAGTGTTTATAGATGATAAAAATGTTAAAACAGTATATATAAATGTTGAATATAAAAATACTAATAAAATAATAAATAAATAATACTAAATGATGATAAGAGACATGGTGATAGGTTAGTGGTTGTATCCACCAAATGATATTCACTTAATTGTGTGTTGAAAATTTTCACTGGACTTTGAATTTTATTGACTGACTGATTATCCAGGTGTTGAACTTTATTATTATTGATTGACCAAGTACTCAAATACCCAGATAATCAATGAATACACCACTATGATAGGTCACTTCAATCATAAGGAGGGTTTGCTTTAATTTAAAATAGATAGCATATAATCACTAAAAAATTTTGTTTTCATAATAATAAAAAAACTAATGTGAAAATTTCTGTAAGAATTACTTTTCTTAACGAGAATAAAAACAATATTATAACACATTCATCGAACAGGTACTTTAATTATTGTAAAAATACAAGTTATCATTATTATCTTAAAAATGATGTCCTTTATATAATAAAATTACATAGATTGATATGATATAAATAAAATATAAATAATA